TCAATGTCCAGCTGGAGACCACTAACAGGTGGTGTCCCTCAGGGATCAGTGTTGGGACCAATCTTGTTCAACATCTTTGTCGCTGACATGGACAATGGGATTGAGTGCGCCCTCAGCAGGTTTGCCAATGACACCAAGCTGTGTGGTTCGGTTGATACCCTGGAGGGAAGAAATGCCATCCAGAGGGACCTTGACATGCTTGTGAGGTGGGCTGATGCCAACCTCATGACGTTTAACCATGCCACGTGCAAGGTCCTACAGCTGGGTCGGAGCAATCCCAGGCACAGCTACAGGCTGGGCAGAGAAGAGATTCAAAGCAGCCCCGCAGAGAAATACTTGGGGGTGCTGGTCGATGAGAAAATGAACATGAGCTAGCAGTGTGCGCTTGCAGCCAGAAAGCCAACCATATCCTGGGCTGCATCAAAAGAAGCGTGACCAGCAGGTCGAAGGAGGTGATCCTGCCCCTCTACTCTGCTCTTGTGAGACCTCACTTGGAGTACTGTGTGTAGTTCTGGTGTCCTCAACATAAAAAGGACATGGAACTGTTGGAACAAGTCCAGAGGAGTACCACAAGGACCATCAGGGGACTGGAGCACCTCCAGTATGAAGACAGGCTGAGGAAGTTGGGGCTGTTCATCCTGGAGAAGAGAAGGCTGCATGGAGACCTCATAGCAGCCTTTCAGTATCTGAAGGGGGCCTATAGGGATGCTGGGGAGGGACTCTTTGTTAGGGACTGTAGTGACAGGACAAAGGGTAACGGGTTAAAACTTAAACGGGAGATTTAGACTGGATATAAGGAGGAAATTCTTTCCTGTTAGGGTGATGAGGCACTGGAATAGGGTTGTGAATGCTCCATCCCTGGCAGTGTTTAAGACGAGGTTGGACGAGGCCTCGGGTGATATGGTTTAGTGGGAGGTTTCCCTGCCCATGGCAGGGGGGTTGGAACTTGATGATCTTAAGGTCCTTTCCAACCCTAACTATTCTATGAAATAGGTGTTGTATCCAAATTATAACCAAACCTGAAAGTCAGAATACCAGATCAAAACACAGGCAATACATATATTACCTCTTAATTATAAAACCCCACCCTTAACTTGCATAGCAATAGAATACATCAGTGGTCAAGTTTGCTCACCCATTTATGACTTAAGGCATCTACCAAACTAGTTGGCTTAACTGTTGTCTTATATACTCTACCAACATCTCTACCACTGCTATCAAACATGAGTAGTGGTAATAGTCTGTTACACAATCTGATACATGTTTCAGAACTGCCCTAAAGCTAACACTGGTGTGGTCAGTGATCAAGTCTCACTGGTTTGCAGTTACAGATTCACAGTCCCTGGCACAGCCCTGTGCTCACTGCAAAAATATCCCATTTTCCCTAACAGCTTTCAAGACAATCCTTCCAGATAACATCAAATGTTTTTATATGCATACCTAATAATGCATATGCACTTATTCTAGGTCATTGAACACATTACTCTTCGAAGGTAGAGTCAATTAGATGAAAACATGAGTATGGCCACATCTTTGGTAACCACTCCTTACTAATATCAATTAGTTTTGGCAATACGAATTATACATCATCAAAATTACTTTACAGGAGCTCTGGCCCACAACCTTCCCACCCACTGCAGCTCAGACCTTTCTGCAAGTAGTTTGTGGTAAGCAGGGTCCTCATCCTCAGATGATAAGAGGTCACATGCTACCTTGTATCAATAGATGATTAATACACTTCTGGACCCTACACATCCTCATGAGCAAGGTGGGAACCCACTGGCTCGAGATTTCTTTCTGCATCTCCACCCTATGCCCCTGGGGCTGCCATGCATTCAGTCAAGATGAAAGCTGACATCCAGGCTCCAACTTATCAAACAGTAGTCTAATGGAGAAAAAAAAACACAGACTTTCATTCTTGCTCACTTAGATCCTTGATGTTCTGATAAAAATAGCGAATAAATCTATATTCCTGCTTACAACCCACCAGAACAAAGCCACCAAAACAAACACTGAATATTGCCAGACAAATGGAGTAAGATATGTAACTTTGACGCAATGGGTCCCAAGAATCATGCAACTCATGACAATCCTAGGCAGAGAGAGTCAGGTTACTACCGGTACATAATCCTCTCTGACCAGTCTGCAGGCACTCTCATTGGACTGGATTTCTAGTAGCTACAGGTATGAAAGTAGAGGCAGCATAGTAGCTAAGTTAGACTGTACTCAGTATTCAACCCTGCCAACGTAAATACAGTGTTTCAGAAGTATTTATTAGTTTGGTATGTCTTTAGTATTAGTTGCTAAATCCTTTACTGTTCAGTTTCCTTAATATTACAGCCTGTAACTGCAGTGTGATTTGAGCACTGCACATTCAATAATTAAACAAGAGCAGTAACTGATTATTGGAACTCCTCCATTAATTAGACCAAAGTTTGTTAGCCAAAGTTTGAAATTAATTTCAAAAGGACATTGCTTCAAAGCAGCTAACCCAGCAAAGGGTAGACATTAAATACTTATCTTTTCATATGAATTCAAGGTCACTCAGACATACATTGAAATGTAAGAAAAAAGACCAACTAGTTTTATCTGCTTTTAGACAGCTCCTGAAAGTCAGCAAGCAGGTCAGATTCAAGCAGTCAGCATCACACTCTTTCAGAGCAGGGAAAAGTATCAGTAACTTTGGTATTTCAGCTTCTAGAAGACATTATAAAGCCTGCTGGTATCCTAGGTTCTTTCATTTCAAACACTAAGACCCTTTAGAAAATAACTGATAGAAATGTACTGAGTAATAATCAATACAGAACAAAGAGCAATTGTTTTCTATTGAAAATTATATTCTTGAAGTTACTGCATCATCGAGGGTTTTGTACAAGCACATACCTCAGCCATAATTAAAACCTGAATAAACGATATTGGACATAATTTATATTTGTGATCTTATTAAAAGATTACAGTTTCAAGTCTTTCCAAGTTTCCTTGCAGTTCAAGCCTATCATCAATAAAGACCACAAGCAAACTGACACCCAGATTGTGTTGGAGCAACCTTGGAAAGACAAAAGCCCTCATTTTTATTGTTGAGCTTGATGTTATATTGCAGAGGATATCCCTTTGGTCAGCTGGGGTCAGCTGTCCCAGCTCTGTTCCCTCCCAACCTTAGTACCCATTCAGGGGGAAGTTGCGCACAAAATGCAAAACAGAGGCAGCCCTGACACTGTACAAGCACTGCCCTGCAATAGGTAAAAGCACTGCTGGGTTAACAACATTGTCACAAGTCCAAAACACAGCACCACACCAGCAGCTATGAAGAAGGTTAACTCCATCACAGCAGACCCAAAGCAAGGATAGATGATTTCAGAGGATTCAGCACCAAAAAAGTCTTGGAGAGCTTTGATACAAACTATATGCCTGGAGCAACAATACTGCTAAGACTAGATAAACACTGCGCTGAGCAGTTATTAGGCAGCTTTACCTACTAGGAGATTTAAGAAGTTTTTACAGGGTTCAGCTGTCTGACTGAAAGCAGACTTGTTTTACATGCCCTCTGCATTTTGGAAAGTATTTGCAAGTGACTTCAAAACACTTTCAGGCTTTTCTTCCAGAGGCTGCTGTGAAAAAAGTAATAATACAAACACTATAAAAACCTGAGTTACTTCACGTTACTGCACTTTTACGACATTGCAGGAAGCCAGTGCTGGATAAAGTGTGCTAAGCTGAATGATTATCAAAACTTGAGAGGTGAAGATCTTCCCCACAACTCTCTTCTCTGGCTTCAGTGACTGCCCTAAACGTCAGGGGAGCTAATGGAATTTAATCATTTTGGGGTGGGATATGAAACCTGCTCTTGATGCCCTCCCTGTGCCCCAACAAGCAGAGTCTTTTTTTCAGTATCAAACAACAGCATCTATTGGATTCTTCTCATAGAACTTGAACACTTTTTGGTGAATGCCACTGCTTTAACTGCTTCTACTCTTGGCAATGACACTGCACTCTTAGCTTGATGACTTCCCGAACATAGCATCGTAAAGCGGCATCTCCCCAGTTGCTTATGTAACACACCATCAAGACCCCCACCCGATCCATCAATCCCAGTGGAAATCTAAATAGAAATATACTGCAGAAATTCTAGTAAAAATTTAATCAGGAGCTGAAAGACACTGGTGCCAACAGCCATTAGTTTAACTTCTTGTGTAACTGCAGACAGAATACACTTTTCCTTTTTTTAAAATGGTGCTACCATGGGCAGTATGTCAGTTTTTAATAGCAGGCTAAGCAGAATTGCATGCATTTACAAACAGGGATCCCACCCACCTTATGAAGTATTTGCAGCCAACATGAGACTAGATTTTAGCTAAATCATTGCTGAAGATGAACTTATCATCAGGCAGATAGGCCTTTAACACTTTAACAGACACAGAAGAAAAATGAACTCTCCACAGAAAGCAACTACTTAGAATTCAAGAAATTTCTGGTGTTGAGATGATTAAGGTAAGTCAGTCTAGCCCTTGGCCCCCAAGACAGTGGTGAAACTCACAAGAGAAGTCACAAAAACTCGGTAAGTAACAGAATTAATTGGAGATCATTAAAGCCATGAATTACCAGGAAGACAAAATTCTTTCCACAGCTAGTAACTACAAGATTTCAGCAGCATGGTCTAGAAAGAAACAGCCCTCACATGAATTCACTGAAAGTAATGCAAAATCAGACAGCCAGGGATCTGGCTGAGCTGCAGCCCCAAAGTGTTCTTCAGGCACTGCAGGAAAGGGATACACTTTGATTTGATAGATAATTGTGATTAAAACGGCATCTGAAGGCTGAAGATAAAGAGTACACATACTGATGAATTAACAGTTGACAGAGCTGCACATCACAGGACCATTGAGAAGAGTGTTTAAGCTTCATTATTCAAATGTGTTAAGTGATTTTTTTTCAGCAAATGGGTTCTCGCATGACACTTTAGCAGATTTTAATACACTGACATACAAAACCAGCAACTTCAGTTCACTGGAAACAGTTTCTTTTTAATTTACCATAAAAAGGCAAAATAGACTCTTTCACTGTAATGTTATAGCTTTTAATATTCCTGAGCTGCATTTTAGAAGCAAAAGTATTCTTAAATGGATTTAATAAGAGACACTGCAGCCTTATTTTCCAACACCACAAGTAAAAATAATTTAGCAAGAAGGCCCCTTTATCAAAGACAATGGCTACCTCTGTATGTACCTGAAAAAATGCTTCAAGTGGCTCTACACCACCTGAAGTAGTTACAAAGCCAAATATGTCAACAAAATACCAGAAAAACTTTTCAACCATTTTAACATTGCTTCTTACTTCCTACATCAGTGCACCTCTCTTCCATGGAAAGTAGTATTATACCAACAGCATTACATGCCAGAGTAATTCGGGCACCAAAGCTTGGCACCCTACAGACGTATGAAGGAATTACAGCAGTTTAAAAAAGATATCCTGTGTATCTCTATAGTCAGTTTTAAGAACTATGCAAAAGTCCTGCTATGCATCTCAATCAGCAAAAACTCTACTCTGTTAAAAGTGATTTAATTGAATGCAGCAGAAAGCATTTTAAATCAAATATGTGTGAAAAGGCTTGTCACATCGGGAGTTCCTCTAACTGGCACCCAGTACTTCTCAAGCCAAAGCAGGTGATAATAAAAACTAAATTGACTAAAATTAAGGTTTAGAAAACTGAAAACCAAGAAAACAGGTTGGCTTTTAGCACTGTAGGAACTCGAGCACAAGCACAAGTGGTTATACCTGTACATTGTGGTAGAAACCTAGAAAGAGACAACAAAGCATGAAGGAACGTTAAAAAAATCAGGCATCTATCTTCTTGACTTCAGGGACTAGATGAAATTAACCACTGGTTGAAACAAGTGTTTTCTACAGCAGTCACACCGAAGAGGTCTCGTTTACAACTTTCTGGCCTTTTTGTCCAGCCACAGCTTCTCCAAGAAGCCAAGGCCTCCACTACCCACTCAAGTACTCCTTTGCTTACTCAGTGATCTCCGGTGCCTCCACCTCCTGCTCACACTTCTATGACTACGACTTCTTTCTCGTCTGTCTCGTTTACGTTCCCTACTGCGTGTTCTTCTGCAACGTGAACGTCTAGGGCTTACACTTCTTCGACGAGGACTATGGCTTCGTCGAGGACTGTAACTTCTGCTAGAGTGTCTATAATACCTCCTTTCTTTCCTGTGCTTTTCATTCTGGTAACTCTCATCTCTTCTGTGCCTGTTCCTCTCGCGTTTACCCTTACTCTCATCAGTGTTTACGCTGCTACATGACCGGCTCTTTCTCCTTCTTGGCTCTGTGCTATGTTTGTGCTGCTCACAGCGCAAGTCCTTCCTGCAAGTATTCTGGTCAGAGTTAGAGAGGCTCTTTTGTTGCTGGTTACTGACAGGAAGACATGAAAGTACCCCTGAACTTCTTTTCTGAGGACACCTCTCAGAGTTTGTGGTATGAAATTTCTGACCTTCTTTGACATGAACTTTGTCATTAATATTGCCATTCAAGTACTTGCATTGAGCGTTTACATTTTCAGAGGCTGCAATGTCACCTTGAGAGCTGGAAGCCAGTTTGCTTGTAACAGCCTGTCCTGAGGTAGAAGTGATGCAGCTGGAAGACACAGTGTGTGGAACACCACTAGGGGTTTTCAGCACATCAGACTGAGATGCTTCAGTTTCTTCTTTGCTTTGATTAATTGCATCCATTTTCTTGCTCAGAAGATTGTTCAGTAGTTTTTCCCTCAGTTCCTTTTCTTTTCTCTGCAACCCCAGTGCTCTTTCCTTTTCTTCTTCCACGCGTTTCAGTTCAGCCTCCTGGAGCCTTCGTCTCTCCTCTAGCTGCTGAAGACAAATCCTTTCTTCATTCTGTTCTTGCTCCAAAAGCTTTACTGTCTGAAAGATAGTCAAAGGAAAGAGTAAACAAAAAAATATTTGTAAATCTTGTTCACACTTTCAAGTTATACCATAATGTAAAAGCAGCAATTTGGCAAGAAAATAAAATATAACAAACTGAACCATCCTGCCAAAAAATTACTGTTTCTTTCTTAAAGGGAAAGAAAATACAAACAAAAAAACCGCACTAACACAAAACTGCTGTTAGGCGAGACATCAATAATCTCAAACTATTGACGTCCACAAACTCTGAGTGTTATGTTTCTCCCATCTGTTTGACAAGGCAAAACCAAAGCTTGGTCTTTATGGTTCCCTGATATGATGAAAGTAACACATAAGCTAGAACAACAAGTGATATTTGAAGTATTAAAATGTATTTATCAGGGCTAGCACTTGAAGGCTTCAAATTTAAAACATTAATTTCTCTTAGATTATTGCAATCTGTGGTTCCTAGGTGACCTTACAGTGGGCCCATAAAAACCAAATGGGTCCAAATAATTAAACACATACATTAAGCAGAAACTGATTCTCATTTTTTCAACCACTTTAGAAACTCATGGTCCTGAAAAAGAAGGTTCAAACTTTTTTCTTTTATTCTGACCCAGACAGGCTTAGTGTAGACTTCAAAACTGTAGGAGTGAAAGAAACACGCTGCTCTATTTGATCAGATGACCTTTATGTTTCACAGCTGCTAAGTTACAAAGCCTGCAAGAAGTATTCCTCCCTTTTATTAGCATGTAACCGACCACACAGCACTGTATGAGGTCAAAAACTCTCCTGAGGTACACTGGCATCAAGGAAAAATACTGTTCTTTGGCACACAGTTTTTCATTTCTACAGAAAATACTTGACATACATTACATTACACCCTAACATAACCTCATCCAAATCTTAGGCAAATGACATCCTGCTTCAGTGAAAAATAAAAATATTGTTAGATGATCTAACATTCAAAACCTTATCTGACAGCACTTTTCCTACAGAAAAGTCATTCTGCACATTCTCAAACATCAATCAATGAAAGCTCATTCTCTGAAACAGCAAAGAATAGTTAATGGAACTGCTGAAAGCCAGACAGGAAACAGATTCAAATTAGAATGAGGAGCCCTGCACCTTTACCCTCTGTATTTAGTTCACTTCGTCATGCTTATACACTCTTTTACTACATTTAAGAGCACTCATGCCAATTAGTTTACAGATAAAAAATGCTACTTAGGACTTCAGGTTTAAGTTCATTCTTCCATTTACCTATTTGTGCATATTTTACCAAGGGAGAAATACAGTTTCATTGCACTTTTCTGAATTTTTGATCCAAGAAATAGTATCTGAAGTACTAAATCTGTTGTTTAATGAACAGAACTCTCTGCCCCCTCCCAAGTCAGTAAACGGCTTTGTTCTGCTGGATTCTTCATTAGCTTCCCAAATAAATATTGAAGTTACCTTTGCTCTGCTTAGCAGTTCTGCAATTAGTCTAATAGACTGAAGATTTCTTTGAGCTAACAGGAGCTTTCTCTCTTCTAACTTTATCTTCTCTTGCAGTTTTTTCTGTTCTTCAGCTTGAAGCTTTTCAAGTTGCTTTTTGTTTCGTCGAACTTCACGATCTTTCTGTTTCTGTTCCCTCTTTCGCAACTTTTCTTCTCTTTTTCTCTCTCTCTCATATTCTTCAAGCTCTCTCTGCTTCCTAGAAAGAGATTAACATTTTTACCTTATCCAGGGCAGGTACAATTTTAGACTTCTACTCTATGTAAAAGTGTATTTTGTACTTTAAGTAAATTTGTTTCTACGTAAAGCTTTTGATTACTGGAAAACAGAAGTAGAAAACAGTGAAAATTTTCATCATGAGTTGTGGTAGCAAACAATCCTCACCCTGCCAATATTTTAAAACAAATTGGGATCCAAACATAAAACATGGCTACAACAGAAATATTATTTTTTTAAACCAGTTCAACCAGAGATAATAACACATCAGGCAACCGGGCAGTGAATCATCACAGTGAGAAAACTACCAAGCCCATGAATGTGTGCAGGAGCTGGTGGGGTTTTTTTCAGTCACAGGGAAAAAACGGTAGCTTCCATGAAAGGCCGAGGGCTTCTAGATCAGGTGTCAAATGGCACAGTTTTTAGGAAATTGAGTATTTTTGCAATCCGTGGCTCCTACTAGATGACCTAGTGAGAATTTATACACATCAAGGCAAATGGACACCGCACAACCTCTGAAACATTTTGCTCCTTTTTTGTTTATATTCTGAATAGTAAATGTCTTATGACATTTACACCCCTATATATTTTCTTAAAATGTCACTGTTAAGGTATGCTTGTATCTCATGCCTTTCCAGGAAAAGGACTGAAGGATACAACAAATAAGCTTTACAGTATCAAAGTATTCTAGTAGTAGAACTAGTGCATTATTTTCTGTTCTTCAGTTATAACGCAGATTTTTCCATCACAGAATGACTACACACTATCTAAACTCCCAGCTCTTGGAATTACAGTTAGCAGGGAAAAAAAAAAACCACCAAAAAAGGTGTAAAACACTTTCTCCAAATGTCATAATCCCTGATTTGATTCCTCAAAAGGAACACAACATTCTCAGTTTTAAGTGTTTCACTTTAGCTACAGAAGTAGAAGTTGAAAGCCAACCTGTGTATAGTTATTTTCTATTTGCCAATGCTGATACAAGGAGCAACTACAGTTTTGTTATTGCTCAGTTTTATTTTTAGGAATCAGGCATAAGTGATAAATACCTTTCTTCTTCTTTTTTTTTTTCTTCAGCTTCTTTCTCTTTACGTTTTTGTTCTTCTCGCTGTTTTTCAAGCTCTTGAAGCTTTTGCCTTTCAAGCTGACGCTTCTTAATTGATGCATCACTGAGGTGTTTTGTTGAGTCAAAAGAAACCTTTACAGCATACAATTGAAAACAGTTTTAACAAGTAGACAGGGGAAAAAAAAATAAAATAAATCCCTGACAACCTGCACAATCTCCAACAATTTTAATCTAGCACAAAACTATCCAAAATGCAATATAAGTAAAATCAGAAATATAAAACCTTTTCTGAAACAAAGGGAACTTCTCTCTGTGCCCAGAGCAAGTACAGAGTACCATAACCAGATAACTGGGAACTAAATGCTAGCACACATGAACAATCAGGTGCCAGTTTACACCTGTATATGTGTCTGACATTAAAAAGTAAACCCTAGTGCGGTTTAGGCCCTGGCTGTCCAATGCTTTCAATCTGTCAGAACAGAAACATACAGAACTCTTTCAACTCCTGTATGCTGTTAAAGACTGTAGAGCACTAGGTAAAAATGAGCCTAAATAAAGGCCTTTCTTTCTGTCTAAAACCGTGATCTTGAAATTCAGCAGAAGGAACAGTTCTCCAACATTCTGCACCTGGTTTAAGCAAGCGCCTCCACATCAGTCCTAACACCAAGATTCCCAAATTGAGGTACACTGACCTGAAGCAGTAAGTCAGTGACTGGGAACACGAAAGAAAAGGATGTTACACACATCTGAGCACTGAGACCTGGGAAAACGCTCAGCTTATAGGACATATGAGCACACCTTGGCCATGTCTATCTGCATGCTGGAACAGGACACCAGGGCTGGTGTCCTAATCTCCCATTCTAGGTACCACCTGTGTGCAGGCAGGAGGATCTATGATACATTTCCACAGGTCCATGGTCATGAACCATGGTGCAGAGAACAAGTAGCACATACTCTGTAGTTTAATTCACCCAGCCTCTACATAAAATGGTATTTCACCAACAGGCTAGAAGGACAGGCAAGGTGTGACCTTACATGAAAGAGATCTTATCCTGACTGCACAGTTGCAAAGGCAGCCCTCTCTCTTTCCTATCAACCCCCAGGACAGCTGCCAGCAAGGCACGCTTCCTTCCACACAGCCAAACTAAATTTGGGAACCCTGATCCCCTGCACGTGACACTTTTGAGTTTCACATCCCCTTGAAAACCTTGAGGGTCAAGGTACAAACAGCTTCCAACCAACAACCTTTGACAACAACATAAAAGATTACAGTATTTTAGTTATACCGACTAAATATTTGCATGTTCCCACATTACACACAGGAATACTCAAGCTTTTTTCTGAAATCCACTTTCTGATTTGGTGAATGACTACTGAGCATATTGAAACAGATCTGCAAACATTTTACTCAGCCGATACATTCGTGCACAGACCACCTACAAATATAGTGGAGCAAGTTTTCTTCAGGTCATGCTTTCAAAGATACTACATCTGAACAGACTGTCTTGTTCTCTCCTGTCATAGCTGTCTTTTCTAAGACAATGAGGTTACAAAAAAAATAGATCTAGAAAATTCAGTATGTAAATATTATGCATGATGAAGGCTGCATTTACAGCAAACTGTGCTTCAGATAAATGTTATCACTTAAATTTTTATGGGGCCTTTCTGTATGTGAAGCACACTAATGATTAACTGTGTCTTCCCCAGGCTGTACCAGCCATATGCTATTGAACTTCAGAGTTCTGACACTTGTCTGGTGGACCTCATGATGAGTGCAGGAACCAAACACAGAGGTTGTGAAATTCTCCCCAAATCTTTCTATCTGTAGTGAACACAAGAGAAAACAATGTGCTTTAAAGTCAGCCTTCTGGTGAAGTATGTCTGAACTTATTTAAAATTCTAATTCTGAACAACAAAATACGTAAACACATATTGCTTTCTAAAAACTATTCAGCAGGTCATGTTTGCATACTTGGTCCTTCCATCAAGCAGTTCTTTCTAGAACTGTCTCATTAAAAAAGAAAAGCAACACCACCTCCCCCACACGCTTTATTCACAATTTAACACCACCTCTTTCTTGCATCATTTCCCTTTAAATATTATCTTATACCTGCTCCATAAAACTACGCTTGTGCTGTTAGTGTTACGTGTTGTCATCACTACAGTATACAGACGTAGGTTTTAAGCACTAGGGACATAACAATTGCACTTGGTTTCTCACAAAAAAAAAAAACCAAAAGCTTGCAGTTTCTCACCTTTATATTGCAAGCCACTGCTTTTCCATCATCACCTTTATACATGAGCTTCATCCCTCGCAGGGCATTCATGGCCTTAATGAAACCTGCATACTCTTGATACTGAACATAAGCTTCAAAATTTAAATGGCCTCCAAAACTGAAAGTGTGAAAATTCCTGCCAGTCATTTCTTCTCTGTACGGGTCCAGCATGGGTATGTCCACATTACGTATTTCTCCAAAGTTCCTGAACACTTTTATAAGGATTTCTTCACTTGGCTTTTCAGAGCCAGAGTCCTTTGCTGCAAACCACTTACAAGGTAAGCCCTCTAAGTGAATAGTATCTGGCCTTTCCCCAGGCAAAGTTTCATTCATATCTTTTGCATCGCGGAAAAATGAGTCCCAGTCATGCCTGGTTGGAAAGTCAATCTTGTATTCTGCAGCACGGACTTTCAAAATGTCAGAGAAGCCACTCAACTTTATTGTTTTGCCATCGAGGCATGCCAGGAAGGATTTAACCAAACTTTTATTTTCAACCTCTCCTTCAAACCGGATGAAATCCATTGTGCTTTTAGAAATCCGCAGAGTGGAAAACTGATGAGTTTGCACCATCCCTTTCAATCTTTCCATCACTTCCCAGTTTGAAATGGATTTTCCTGGTTGTTTCAGCTGAGGGAGTGCCACACTGATGGTCATTTTTGTAATGGGTTTAAGGTATAACCCACAGGGAGCACAGAGCTCTACAGCTTCTGATGTATCATGAACTATTGTTGCAGCAGCCATAACACAGAAAAAGCATAGGATAAAAGAAATAAAAGATGCGAGTTTAAGTCAAAGGCCAACACCAGTCAAACAAAATAGCCCTTATCCGTAAATAATTGAATTCTTTGGCCATTTAACCAATCCCAAGTTAAAACAATGTCTCTTAATACAAGAGTCAATTACAGAGTTAAAACTGAGTAATACAAACATCTTAAATTACTTTATGACTACTAAAGCCTTTAAGTAATAAAACCTCAGTAAGGCCTCCGGAAAAAAAAACAACAAAAAAAAAAAACAAAAAAAAAAAAACAAAAAAAAAAAAAAAAAAAAAACAAGAAGCTGATGACAATCTTAGGGACACGTGAAGTTGGTATGTGATCGCTCAGAAAGCAGCTACCCTTTCTCAGGAAGGAAGGGACTGGCAGAGCAATGTTACACCGCTTTGAAGTCTACATAACAACCAGGAAACCCCAGCAGGCCGGCGCCGAGGCAGAGCCCAACTCCTCCAGCAGGAAGCCTTGGAAGGTGTCTGAAAGGAGAGAAAAACACTCCTTTTATTTAAAGGCCTGAAGCCCCACCACCCTCCCTCGCAGCAGCCGCAGCAGTAGGAGGCGGGGAAGCGCCGTGACCCGCACCGGCGCCACCGACCACCACCGGCTGCGGGAAAGCCGCCAACTGCCCCTGGTGAGAGGAGCCCAGGCGGCGGGGCGAGAACCCGGGGACACGCCGCCGAGAAAGGCCCCCCGCCCCGAGCGGGACGTGCCGGGCAGCATTACCAGTACCCTTCTCCTCCTGTACGCGTCCCCGGACCACCAGAGCACTGCCCCCTGCCCACCGCAGGGATCCCACCGGCGCCCGACCTCACCGGCATCCGCTGGGCTGGCTCCGCCGCCGCTGCCTACCCCAGCCCCTGCCACTCCGCGCCGCCAGGCCTCTTCCGCTTCCGCATAGCGGAAAACTCCCCAGCCGGCAAGGGGCGGCAACGCTCTCTATGGTAGCGATCTCTATGGTAGCGGCGCTCCAGCGGCGCCTGGCGGCGGGGCGGGAGCGCGGTGAGGGCTCTCCGAAAGGAGTCCTGCTGCTCCGGGCAGCACGGGCTGTCCGTCAGGCGCACACGGTGCTCGGCGCTGTCAGTGTGCGTGCACCCAGCAGATGCGAACGGGGCTGCTTCCCGGTGGGGCACTTTTAGATTTAGATTAAATAGAAGGAGGAAGTTATTCAGTATGAAGGTGATGAGGCGCTGAACAGGTTGCCTAGAGAAGCTGTGGCTGCCCCATCCCTGAAAACATTCAACTCCAGGCTGGATGATGCTTTGAGCAACCTGGTCTAGTTGAAGGTGTCCCTGCCCAATGGTAGTGGGGTTGGAACTGGATGAGCTTTAAGGACCTTTCCAACCAGGTCCCATCACTTGAGAAACCAAGACTGCAGTAAGTAGCCTTTAACGGCAGGCTGGTGCTAGCCGCTGTGTGGAAATAATGACTGTAAAACACCAGTGAAAATGGCACAGGAGTTCACCGTCAACCAACCCAGCAGCTGCAGCAAGACCTCAGCTCTTGTGCAGAGCTACTATTTCACATCGCAGATGATGGTTACTGCTGGTTCTGCTCTTGTTTCTTCTATGGTTTAGTTAAGTGATAGTGTAAAAGCAGAAACTACTGCTACTGTACAACAGCATGAAATAGTTTGTGCTTTATAGGCTGAGAGTCCCTGCATAGTTTATCACACTTTCTCCTACAGACTTGAATTTGGGAGCCCACAAAGCAGATCTAGTTACATTCCAGAAAGTTTCAGTAGCAGCACAGTGAGACACTGCGTATGGCAGAGATTTATAATCCTGTGCGTTATGATAGCCCCAGACTGTGTGTATTTTAAAATAAGAGAGTAAATAAATGCTCTTAAAAGTTGCAAAATACCAGAATTGAAGTTACCCATGCCGTGACAGCAGCCACACCTGTGACAGCTTTCATAGGCTGTTTTTCTGATGAAAGAACTGTTTCAAGCATTACATTCAATAATACTGTAAAACATATGGGCAAGAAGAAGTAGTGATAGCGTATGTTACTTTTAAAAGATGTAATCAAGCATCAGTACTGCAGTGCAGCAGGGGTAAACAGTGTCTCTGCTCAAATACATTCTGTGTTGGGCAGATGAGTTATTTTTATTATTATTTTTTCACTGTAGTGAGATACCTAAAGTAAATGTGTCCCTTCAGGTTTCAGAGTCTGAAGTGTAAGTCATTAAAGCAAGGGTATCACACCTACTGGGGAGAAGAAGGATGAAGTAAACATCAGTGAGGGACTGTATCTAGGTGCAACAGCATATGTAAATCTGGTTTTTACTGTAAGACATTGTCTCTCCCCGACTCTGACAAATACATTGCACTACCAACCTTAAAAGCCATCTATCATGTCTGAAATCTTGTACCTTTTTTCTGACTTCAACAGATAGACTAATAGAAGGTATCACTTGGAATCCTAGAATAATTAGGGTTGGAAAGGACCTTAAGATCATCTAGTTCCAGCCCCCCTGCCATGGGCAGGGACACCTCACACTAAACCATGTCACCCAAGGCTCTGTCCAACCTCGCCTTGAACACTGCCAGGGATGGAGCATTCACAACTTCCCTGGGCAACCCATTCCAGTGCCTCACCACCCTCACAGTAAAGAATTTCTTCCTTATATCCAAACTTCCCCTGTTTAAGTTTTAACCCGTTACCCCTTGTCCTATCACTACAGTCCCTAATGAAGAGTCCCACCCCAGCATCTTTATAGGTCCAGTTCTGCCTATAAACTTCCCGATCTGTACTTTCAGTAGGTACAACACTGAATCCCACAAAAGTTCACTAGAGGGAGCGCTTGTTATTTGCATATAATAGATCTATTCATAAAGACAATTAAAAATAGGCTATAAACAGCAGATACTAGGTTTTGTATTCATGCCAGAATGCAGATCACTCTCTTCCTTTCTTGGAAGAGGATATAATTCTCCTAACTACACATGGTCTTATCTGTGTTCTTCTCTTGCTCTTCCTGAAATGCCCCATTTTCTTGACCTTAATGGTCATTTGTGGTAATGAAAGGCAAGATGTTACATGGATGCTTACATAACATAAAACAACAACCCAGTATGTTCTTTTCTTTCCTTCTCTCTTCCTCTCTAAAACACACCAAAGAAGAAGGAAAACTCTTTTTAGTTTAAAACTTAGATGTACCTGTTGGAGAGTGATTCATCTCATCTAAATCTTTTCTACTATATGGCATCCAGCAATACTCCTAGCACATGTGTTTTTAAAAGCAATTAGAGTACGTGGCACCCTGTCTTTACTTTCAGTGTGATTTCTGTTGTCACTGAACAGGGGACATTTCTTTATTCTCACTCTGAGAGAAAACAAAATGATTCACTGTGCAGTTGAGCAGTTTATGAATGGTACTTGGAGATGGAGGAAGCAGCACAGAAGGATCTCTCAGATGAAGAGATTGTGTGACTGTTGAAGAGCCATTTCAGTGTTGTTTTCAGACTCTAAATAGTCACTCTTCACAAAGCAAAATTAATCCCAGAAGTGGGTAGGAACAGAGAAATGAGTCTGGAATATATTGTTTTCTTTCCCATAGTAAGAAATGGCTCCACAAATCATTCAATTTCCTTTCATTAGTTCTAATAATTTTTTTTTAATCTAGCTGAGTGCTGTGTGTCAGTGAAGCGTGGGTGTGTAACAGATTGTCTACCTTGGAGAGAATGCATAGCATTAGAAGTAATATTGATGTTCTGATGCAGGGCAATTCCAATTAACTGGAATTAACCATCACTTCCTGTGGCTGGTTCTCCACAGGCCTAATTGTTGTATTCTGTTTAAAGTGGAAGAATATGACAATACAGATTTTTTCTTAGCAATTTATGGAGTGAAATGCAAGAGCTATTTTCTTATCTCTTCATCTGTTTCTGAATCAGAGAAGAGTAATGGGTTAATACCAGTAATCGTCCTCAACTGTATATTTCTCTTTTGACAAAAGGAAAAATTCCACAAGATTCTGTACCGGTGTAACTGTTGACACACCAAAGAATTTTTAAACGAGGTGAAACTGCATTGTTACATTTGTAGAACTATGAATTTCTGAAGAGCTTTTAAGCAGACAAGATCCCCTCTGTAGGTTCAGCCTGCCCTCCTCACTTATATTTCACCTAATCCAGAAAGACCATAGGTACTTTGGTAGATCTGGCGTAAGTATAAGTGACTATAGCATCAATTCTCTGTTTCAACAGCTTTGCCTGTAACCCAGCCTTGCTTCCCAGCACACACACATCGGGGAGGTCAGGGGAATCAATGACAGATGCTGTGCTAAGTTTTCATTATTATTGCTTTTTGCTCCTGACAATCCTTCTTCCTCATTTTCCAGGGTCTGATTGTGAAACTGAAAAGCTATACAAAGGGAGAATGAACAGGCGGGATCACATTTGATTTCCTCATAACACTGCTGTTTTCATACTGACAGATACTGTCAACATGTCTCAGAATGTGCTGTCAACCTTTACATCTTAAACCTTTTAACCTTTCATCTTAAAAAATGTCTTAGAGTAACTTGTGTTGACCAGATTTATACTAAGATGCAGATTAAGACAGCTGAAATAATCATCAGGTGGCCCAAATCACTGACAAGTTTGATCAAAGTTTGTTTCTGTCCCACAAAATGTATATACTTCTATACTTACCTGCATGCATCTATCTATATATGCACCCACATACATGTATGTATACAAACTATAATCGAAATGAAACATAAAACACATATCTAACATTTAAAAAAAATGCTGATCTCTGTAACAAATGCAGGCACTTCTGCAAGATTTGTATAATAGAACATTAGAAATCATCCATTGCATGTCTAAGCAACAATTCTTGCAGCTGTCAGTATTATATTGAAGCCTTTCAATCATTAATTTCTAACCATCTTTATCATGAGGCAGAACTATAAAGAAAGGTATGAGTGCTGTAAAAACTAAGCTGAGTAAGAAATGGTGTGTTATCAGCAAGTGGCAGAAATGTGAAAGTAAGGAGAAATAAGGCTAACAACTTTATTCTAGTGACATCAGCTTCAGGTACAGTGCAGTTTTGTCTTGACCTGCAGCACAGGAAAATCTAATACGTCATCTCTGTGTAGAAGTTACTTATTCTGCCAGTGTCTAGATATTTACATAAATCCTGGGCATTTCCAATATTCTGGCTTCAAGCCCCTCAATATCACTGCAGATGAGCTATTTTTCCTGAGTGTTCTGCAATAACTGAATGGAATAAAACTTTTCCCATTAGTTTGCTAGTTAACCCACATTTTCCTATTCTGTTTGCAATAATATTATAGGCATGACGGGAAGAGGTGCCAGGAGGAGAAGATTGCCTTATATTTCATAACTCTGAATGGTAATAATCTCTAATGTAATGACAGTCCCATATGAAAGATAAAGTGACAGTTTTCTGCAAGTGGGGAGATAATAAAAGGATCTGCATCAAATCATTTTAATTATAAAAGAAGTAATGAATTCTAACCTAACAGTGTATTTTCATCTACATATGCTACAGTCTAATTGTTGTCTCCTAATTTGGTATGAAATAACTACATGAATCAAGCTTTGCACCAAAGAGGCAAAAAAACTTATTTAGGTTAGTGCAAGGGTACCTAATTATGAGTCATAGGGTATTATTTAGAAAAGGGAAAATGTCACGATAACAAGATCCTTTGACCTATAAAAAGGGAAGTCATGATAACAGCCAGATTGTTTTGTTTAAAAGACATTGTAGAAAATAAATCTGTCTGGGCCACGCTGCAAAGCCAAAGAACTTTTTGTCTGTAGTTTCAGTTGCCCACTTTACCTTTCACTGGTAAACATAGGTAGTGTAATAAATTGGTATCTCTGCTAGATTTCAGTGATGCTTACTAGCAATCCAGAGCACTCTTACTTCTTTGAGTAAGTCTTTGCTTACTAAGATAAAGGCTGGACT